TAATAACAGTCTTGGTCCAAGTTAACTATGTCAGATTTGACTGCATCTGCTGGATTTGCCCAAGTCGTGATGGGAGAGAGCATGTGTGAGTGTGCACCTCTCCACAAAGCCGTGATGTATTATTTTACTTCCACAACTGTCAAGAACACCTGTTAGTGACTGGTATTCAAACATATTCAAATATCTCGGAGAAGAACTTCAGAACAATTTCAATGCCAACTGCACAGAGTGACGAGAGATCCTAAGAGTAAAGGACCTGGAAATTGCAATAGTCATATTTTTAAACTCCAGCTTTAAACTCTACACATATTTTTGCTGATGTTAGTGAAAGCATGATATTCTTTATGGATGCATGAACTGATAGGGACATTTTTTTCTCTAATTCATATAGTTTTTCAGTGAATTCCTTTTCTTTTTATATTTTAGTGTTGATTGTTTGCCATTCTTTTCCCCATCTTTTTTTTGAAGGTAAATTATTAGAAAGAGCTTTGAACTTAAGGTTTTCAAAATTTGATATTGATGATTCTGTTTGTGGGATATCAAAGAAGTATCCAGATTTCTTGGGACTGAGTTTCCTCATTTATAATTAAGATGTTGGATTAGATGAAATATAGAATCATTTTCACATTGAAAATTCTTTGATTAATTTGAAGGTTTGGTGGAGGTTTTTTTGGTTTGTTGTTTTGTTCACATGTAGAAAGAGATGGGAAGTATGATTGGGTCATTTTAGGTCAAAGACCATTTCTTTTATGCCTCTTTAAAACAAGCATTTTTGGCATGTGCAAACAGGGAATCACAGTTGCCAGAAGGAGGATGGGTCCTCTCACTTTAGCATCCTAAAAGGGACTGTCCATTAGTTATTCTGAATGAACAGGCTCTGAGCATTTTAAGAAGCCTCAGAGCCCAGCTGGCGTGGCTCAGTGGTTGAGTGTGGACCTATGAACCAAGAGGTCACGGTTTGATTGCTGCTCAGGGCACATAACTGGATTCGATTCCCGCTCAGGTTCCATACCAAGTAGGACTGTGTGCAGGAGGCAGCCAATCAATGAGTCTCTATCATCATTGATGTTTCTATCTATCTGTCTCTCTCCCTTCCTCTCTGAAATCAATTAATTTTTTTTTAAAGATGAATCCTCCAGGCTCAGGCCTGTGGGAGTCTCAAAAATGAATTAGGCCTTAAAGGAGCTTATAATCTAATGGTAGACACCATACATAATTTAAGAAAATGAATTGGGGTAAACAGAAATATAAGTAAAGTTATAGAAGCACACAGAATGGAAAGATTAATTCCAAAGTGTAAGATTAGGAACTTACTTGTTGAAAAAATGGCATTTGACCTGGGATTAGAAGAATGGTCAAAATTTCAAGGGATGTGGCTGAGGTTCAGGATTGGGAAGGGGGCTTTCCAGGTGATAAGCTAATTAAGTGAAGGGATGGTTGTATATTTGGGAAATGGCTGGAGGACTTCCCCTCCTGCCCCTCAGTAATGCTTTGTTAATATTTTTATCACAGCACTTCTTAACTAATTAATATTTTTAGGTATCTGTCTTCCAGATCATCTATGAACAACTTACACACAGATAATATGATTTATTTATCTTTATAATCCTAAATCTTAGTACAGGGTAGCAGCTTGATCATTGGTGACCAGAAAATAAGTGTTGGGAAAGAAGCTTTTAGCCACCATAATTTTCAATTGTAACCAAATATCAACTGGATATATTGGTTAGGTTCACCTTGTGTAAATAGCCATGTGAAGCAATCGGAACATTTTCCCATCAATTTATTGTTATTTTGCATAATATTCCTGTATTTCATGATAAGGCTTATCACGGAGCCCTGTTAGAAATGAGATTTCTGAGGCAGAGTGAAATGGTTGGAGGAGTCAGAAGCAGAACTCTGATGTA